AAAAAAATAAATAATCCGCGAACCGCCGTCGTCGGGATTTTTAATCTAATCGCTCGGCGTCACGCGATGCCGACGAACATCGACGTCGAATTTGCATCCGACTCTCGTTCCGCACGAGAGGGTTATCGCAGCAGTCGCACTTTTCGCGAGCGGCACGATAACGCTCTCGGGAATGAAATCTCGCGTATTTGTGCGTCGTTATGACGTACCCGAGATCGGCAAGACATTTCTCGTCTTTGATAAGGGAAGAGAGAGAGAGAGAGAGAGAGAGAGAGAGAGCCGCTCTCTCGCTGTTCACACGGTATCCGATCGGAGGACGCGAGTAACAGGAGCAAGTAACTCCGAGAAGATGCGAGCAAGGAAGAAGAGACAAAATTCGCAGTCATCGTTGTCCAGCGTCGCTTAAACGGGGGCGGGGTTCTCTCCTCACTCGATCCCCACTCTGGTCCATTCTAGAAGTCCACCTCACCCTGGTTTCCTCTCCGCGGCACTCGAGCAGCCGGTTGTATTCTTAGGTCAGGGAAAACTCGAGTGCGCGGCTCGCTTCGATCGATCGATCTCCACACGTCGGTTCGCGCGAAGAAGAGAGGAATGCGGAGTTCCGTCAGAGAGGAGAATACGTGCTCTCCACAAGCTCGTGAATTTCAAAGAGTGGCCACTCTTCGTCATCAGCTGCGCGGTTTTCTCCCCTCCTCTCTTTCATCCTCGGTTTCGCCGATATGTGTCTTCGGAATAGTTACTTTTATCGCGCGTCTTGGAACTCGCCGCTGAAATATCTCGAGCCTTCGGGACCATCGATCGTGTTTCGCACGTAGCTACTTCATTCTCTGCTTTAGTCACCTATTGACCGATACAAACGGACTTTCTCTCGAAAGTTTGCTTTCTGTCAATTTTCGTCGAGAGGAAAGACGCTGAGATACGAGCACGATAAAAATAGCAGTTGATGTGGATTTTAACTAATTCAAAGAGGAAATTATTAGACCGACTTCTTTTAAATGAATAATTAAATTTGAATTAAATAAATAATAAATAAATATCTACGATACGCAAATAGAAAAAGCAACTTAAATCAATCCGAGTTAAAGATACACTAGCATCACAATAAAACCCATTTTATTTAATCCTCGCCGCTATTATTTGATATTTTTTTTTTTTAACTCAGCAGAGTAAATTGATTAAATTTTTAAAGCAAAGAAACTTTATAAAGAATAAAAAAATTATTATCGATATTATTTTTCATATTTGTAAAATAATTTTTTTTTAAATACCAAAATAGCTTCATGTAAAACTGTTAACAATGTTTAAAAAAGCGCCACTATTTTCGTATCTACATTTTATTCTATTTTAAGACAATTGTATCGCGTTTCTCGATCGATGTTATGTAACACATAAAAGTAAAAAATAAATTTGAACTTCGACAAGAATACACAATGTTACAAAATATATATCCTTCTATTCCATTTTCAATAGTATTAAACAATTATTCGTAACGTTGCACTATATAATTGATTTTTTGTGAACATTTTATTTTGTGTGACAGCCAATAATCAGTTAGAAAAATATCATATTGAGATATTATAGTATTTGAACTAATTTGAAACTAATTATGATATATATATATGTAGTCTAAATTTAAAATATTTTAATTATTTATTCTACAGGTGTGTTATGAAAAGGATTTTCCAATTATCTCGCTTAAAAAATGAACAAACTTAGAAATAAAGTTACGTATGTATATCATATACGCAAACTTGCAGTACATTAAGTTTTGTCAGATTTTATCAGATTTAATGACTCGAGTGACCTAAAAAGGGGATTGATTCGATATTTCGCGGGGTCTGTCGGACCCCCGGGGAAAACGACGCACAAAGGAATCTTGATCGACTCGCGCGCCGTAATACCAGAGTGCAAGCATTCGTTTCTTGTTGCCTCGCGTTTCCAGGCCGAGAGAGTGGCCAAACTCAAATTGTTATCGCCGCTAATCGATTAATCGAACGCTGTAGCTACCGCCAGCGGGCCTATCTCGAGCAACAAACATTCCATCCGCGCGTTCCGAATCCCAGACAATGCGATTCTAATGACCGACGTACGTGTTTCCGTTCGTACATGCACAAACCATGATCTTCCCTTTCTAGGGAAAGTAGGGAGAGGAAACGCTATCGTCTATCTCTTTTATATCTTCATATACTTTCTACCTCTATTGCCTTCTCTCTTACAAGTACGATCATCTTGATATCTCAATCGGCTTTTGCCTCATACATTACATTCTCGCACACGCTTTTTTCTCGCATCTCGAATTCCCCTGCCCTCTCATGCTTTACTACTTTGTTAGTTCCTGTTACCTTATACCTGATTCACCTTGCTTCTCATATTTCCTCCTCGACGCTGCGCGTAGCCGCACGACGAAGACACATTCGGACGTTATCCTGTCAAAGATAACCGGTTTTACGTGCCGTCGAACCTCAACACATTCGAAGCGACGACTGCGGCTATGGATCGAGGATGATCGAGAAGCGGAAGGAAAAGAAGACAAACGGAAAAAGAGAAAGAAGAGAGAGAGAGAGAGAGAGAGAGAGAGAGAGGGCGAGAGAAGGTAGGAGAGTAGATACACGCAGGTGCGACGGGGGCAGGAGCGCACGCGAATCGATCGCGGGGGCCGCGACGCGAAACGCCGCGACGCGGCGACGAACGGACGGTGCGGCCGAAAATTTCGCGTGACGGCAACGACGAAACGGGAGTATTCGCGCGGCGGTCGTCCCTCCTGCGGAAATCAATAAGCGGCGATCGCCGAGCGTGAACCACCGGCCACCATCGACACCCTCTCTTGTCCACGATCACGACCACGTCCTGATGCCTTCGCCGACGAGTCGACGAGTCGACTTCGCGCGCGCGAACCGGCGAGAGTTCTACGTCCCCTAGAGAATCGTTCCTCTCTCCTTCCTCCCCCCCCCCCCTTTGCGCCCCCACCCCTCCGCTTCCTCTCGCCGTCCCCACTTCCCCGTGGACCTCTTTCTCGCTTCTGCCTTCACCACTAGAGGATACTGACCGTGGACGACGAAAGGAACGACGTCTTTCTTTTCCTCCTCCTCCTCCTTCTCCGTCGACGCACCACTTCTTCCACCGCTACTGCCGTCAACCGCGGCCACGACGACGCGCGCCACGCAAGCCGGGCTCCTCTTCGAGGAGGACGATGCCGCCGGAGGACGATGCCGCCGCGCGCGTCGGGGCAGATTCGCGGCCCGTAACCCGGGAGCTTCCTGCGAATACACCCTCCGTCTTCTATTCGCCTGCCATAAACTACCGCTTCTTCGTCTACCTCCGCTTCTTTTTGCTCCGCGATCACGGAATAATTTCGTTAAAAGCGCACGGCAGTGAAGGAACGACGAAGGAGGAACGACTGCCCTACGAGGCAACTGTATACGTCCCTCCTCGCGCGTCCTCATCCCCCTACCCCCTTTCACGATCGCTCGATCTCTCTTTCTCTTCCACCCTCGACGGTATCGCGGCGCACGCGCCAGGTGTGTCCTTTCTCTCTATCCTCCGCGTGCGCGCTCCATTCTACCTGTCCGTCTCTCCTTCACAAAATCTCTCTCTCTCTCTCTCTCTCCTTTCTCTTCCTCTCATCCTCTCTCGCGCGCGCGCGATCTATTTCGTTCCTTTCCTGCGCGTCTCCCGCTCTGCTCGCTCGTTACCTTCGCGCTTGTTCGGACGCCGCATCGACGCGTCCGGAGGATGAGAGTCTCGTGCCTCCGCTCGCTCGCTCGCTCGCGACCATCGTCGTCAGGACGTCTGCGCACTCGGATCGCTGGCGCGAGTCAGGACAAGAGAAACGCACACGGGCAGGAAGCACGTAGGGACATCCGGAAATACCGGCTCGCGTTTCGTTCTCTTTCTCTCTCTCTTTTTCTCTCTCATTCGGCATAGATCCCGCCTGAGCCGGCTCGAATATTATGGCGAATTGACCTATTTGTCTCAAATGGGTAGCTCGCGCTTCTTCGGCAGAGCGAATCCTTTCCTACGAGAAACATCCGGAATCGTAAGCCGGATAAGGGCGCGATGTCGTTGCAGAATGCGACCTCGAAGCCGCTCACCCGCAATTTCCCTTCTCTTTGTATGCAAGCGACGGCGCTCGATTGCACAAAGGGGTGAGGGATCGAGGGTAGGAAAATCTTGGAGCATATACCCTACTCGCCTTTTACCCTTCCTCTCCGTCACGCTATCGGACTGACGTTTCTTTTCTTCTTGGGACTTACCGCGCGTAAGCAGAGCGCGCTATTATATCGGGCGTTCGGTCGGTCGATCTCGGGGTTGCTCCCGCTTTCCGGAGAAGTATGCCAGGAATTTATAGAATCCATCGGGGATATCGGCGAACTGATCCCGTCGCGTCTGAGTATTTCTTGAACCACCACAAATGCAGATATACAACTTGGAACGGATATTTGACATAATTATCGTGCTGCGGAAATGAGATTTTCATCGCAAACCGGATTTATTAATAAAGAAATAATAAAAATATTAATATGCGTCATTAACATGTTTTTGTACATATATATATATATATATACAACTTGTTTGACATAATTATCGTGCTGCGGAAATGAGATTTTCATCGCAAACCGGATTTATTAATAAAGAAATAATAAAAATATTAAAAATATTAATTAACATGTTTTTGTACATATATATATATATATATATTATAATATGTGTGTACTTAATTGCTTTTTCAAGAAAAAAAAATAGCTGCATAACTAATAAATTTTAAAATCTCTAAACGGAAGATTCGCCCAATGTAAACGCAGACAATCAACACGCTACCACAGCTACTACGTCGATGGATACAATAAATATGGACGAAGGAGATTTGAGAATAGGACGCGACGGTACGTTCTCGCAAAGAGAAAGAAAAGAGGCCAAGCGTTGATTTTGTGTTGCTCCACGAATCGTTCTCTTTCTTTTTGCGTATATTTTTATATATTGACCATCATCAAACGTTGACTTTGCATTGTCGCGAATTGTTTTCTTTTTTTTGCATATTTCTTACATTGCTGGCTATTATTTTTCGAATGCCTGTTTGTCTTTCATTTAGAGAGATTGAAACCGGCATAATTTTGATGGATTGGGATCTTTTTGTATCTACAGTAACGAAAAGATTGCATTCTTGCCGAAATCATAACGGTTTCAAACTCCGTTTCGGTACTCCCTTTGAAATTATCTGGCATCTGCGATATTTGATTTAGGCGCGGAAGGTTATAGGGTAACCACCCCCACGGCCACGGAAACCATGTTACCGTGGAAACGTGAGGACGATTATGAGTCAGGTCATCCGATCAAGCAGAACGAATTTCCAGCTTGGTGCTCCAATAAGGAATACCTCGCCTACAGCTCGCCCTCCGCCACTTTCTTAGGTAAAAAATGAGGACAGATCGATTAATTACTAAATATTAATTTGCTATATCTTTTTTATAAAAATGCAATGACTATTATAAAAACCTTCCGATATAATATCATAATTGTGTCATATATTTTCTTTCAAAGAAAGAGGAAATTTCATGAAAATTCTTTTTTCCAAAATAAAAAAAGAGGATCACTTAAAAAATGTTTGACACTTAAGAGAGCTTACTGTCATCTGTTTATTACCAGCGATGTCCATTATTTGTAAATATTATATTATATAACATGCAAAATTACACAAACTAGGAAAGGTAATTTCTCTATGCATGTACAATGAGTAGTCTGTTTCTTGTATTCACAATTTAATATTAGTTTAAATATTGTAATAAACATTGTATTGTAATAAACATGTATTTCTGCTATGTAATAACAATATATAGATTATATATATATGCATGTGTATGTGTGTACACACATACACACACATATATAATTCAGATTCTGTCAAATAAATTTCAATATGCATACAAAACATTTTACGCAAGAATACACATTTTATTCTAAAAAAAGTAAGAGACATATCCATCTTTGATGGACATATCTTTTATTTAGCTTTCCGTTTCTTACAATTCACATTCTGTTTGTTTATTTGTACATATATATATATATATATATATTATAGTATACATTATATGACAAAAAGATAGAATTATATAATATATATATAATGTGTATTAAAGAGCACAGAGGAAAAGAGAAAGAGAGAGAGAGAGAGGGAGGGGTTGTAAAAAAATTATAGGTTTAAACAAATATTTATGCCCTATATTAATTTAATGATGTATAAAAGAATCAATCAATCATGTTTATATATCTTATCACGTATTTTGCTATATAAATGTATATTATATAATAATTACACCGCATTAATATACAATCGGTGCATTGATATGATAAAATAATATACATTTTCTATGAAGGAGAAACTGAATTTAATTCAAGAAAGCTGACTCTCTCGTTTTACAAATTCCGCATGTACATTTCTGGAATGAAACTTTTATATTTAATTCCACGTTCCAAGAATATCATTGTACGAGAATCTTGCAAAAGTGCTCCTATTTTCGCGAGTTTCCTCGACCAAAAGAGGCTCGAATGTCGGCGGCGCTAATCCTGTCATCGACATCGGTCCGCGTGGAACTTTACGGCGGGCGACTTCCGGCCTCCGCCGTAGGGTATATCGATAGACATATCGGGACGAAATTACGCTCGGGGATCCTCTGGCGTTGGCGTTTCGAGGTCACCGGGCACCCCCGCCAGGATCTCCGGCGCGCGGATACACCGAAAAGCCCCTGACTGGCCGACTCTACGCGGAGGCGCTTATCGATTTTCAAAGCGGCATTGCCCCGCCGCTCGCCAGCAGGTCGTCGTCGTCGTCGTCGTCGTTGCCGTCGCCGTCACCGTCGTCGTCGTCCTCCTCCTCGTCGTCGTGTATGCGCCAGACAGAGAAACAAAATGAGCGAGAGAAAGAGAGAGCTTTCGGACGAGCCGGTTTGACTGGCCGATGCCGACGCGACGCGTACAGATATACAGATACAACCACGCGGCTGCACCTGATTGCCCATTGCATATGCATGCCTGTTTGGATATTGGATTTGCCGCGAGACTTATGCTCGAGCTTTACTCGCGCCTATGTCGGCACAACGTTACACAACGGCGTCGGCGGTGGTGACGGCGATTATGGGTTATCGATATTGCAAACTTACAGCGCACGGAGAGTCGGGATATAGCTCATGGATATGCAAAAATGTAAAAAAGCGCTTTCCCAGACAACGTGGGCGGGAGAGTGTTTGGCCGGCGAGCGTGTCATCCTGGCGTGAGTAAACTAGTTTGCTTGCCTCTTTCGGGAACACGCCAAGAGGCGCCGCCGGGTACGAAAGCTCATGGCCATCGGACAAATTTGGAGCGGTGTTTTTGGTCGATGTCCGATAGTCTAACGACGAAGAGTGATATAAAAAGAGGAACTGTGTGGGAAAGATGTAAAGAGAGGAAAATTTATGGGACTACCACGAAGCACAAATATTAGGACAGAGAGAATTATGAGAATATTATAAAGTGTAAATATTTGCTTATTCGTTAAGGAAATTGTCCGTCTCTTTCGTATATCGAATTATGCGAATAAAGAAGCTTTTCGATTGATTAAAGGAATACGATTGTTTTTGAAAAATATGGAAGATTTGAGATCGATTAAGATTCTTGCGTATTTATTATAGCCGCTTTTCTGTCTGACTAAAACGGACGTGTTCTACTTACATGAGATAAGGGTTCATCGTTGCGAAAATATATTGAAGCAATTAGTCGCGTCACATGACATTATGCTCTGTCAAAACTTTGGAGAGGTTTAGAAGCGTTATTAACGTCTACAACGTTTCTATATCATATGTTTAGCGAGCGTTCGAAAATGTTACTATATAATTTACTCAACCCGAAAATACGAGCTTAAATCGCTGATTACGTTGCAAATTATGGAAGTTAAATTAGGCAATTCAAGCATCCTACTTTCCTATAGAAAGGGCGGTAAATATCTCGGAGGGCTCTCTACTTTTTGAATGATTGTTTGAAGGCGTAATTGCTGTAATTGGGTGTTACAAGCACAGCGTGGTTTATAAACAGTAATTCATGCATTATTATCTTTAACTGGAACGATCTAATTACTATTAATTTTTGATATTGTATACTTGTTAATAAATATATAGCGTGAATTATAAATATCTTACAAAGAGAGATGAATAAAAAGGAGCGAACAAAAATATGATGATCTAAAAAACCAAATTTATCTCATATTTTTTTTTTAATAATAATCATACGGATTATCTTTTCTGATAACAATTTTTTAAATCATATCAAATTTATTTTTGTTTGCTCAATTGTTATAAAAAAAAATGTTTTTCTCGACCTACAGTTTACCAAAATGTTACACGAAAATGTCAATATAACTGAAAAAGTAAATTG